GCTGCATCCTGTCTCAACCACGGTGATTGGGGACAACATCCCGTGAAGGAAAAAATATCAATTCATGGAAGGAAAGTGTGGGAGCTTGTTTTCCTTTTGTGCCTGGTGTGTGGACCTGGGCTCAGTGCTAGCCTGAGCTGACACCCTGCACAGACCAGTGGGGTCTTGTAGCCTTGGACACCTTAGCCATTTCATATCCCACATACAGAAATCAGTCTCACACCCTGCATAACTTGTGCCTCTCTCCAATTGCAGACACCTTGCTCAGTTTCCACATTCTTAACCTTGGCGTATGAGACATGTCACATGTAACCTGGAGAAGCTATCTATCACCATCTTCTATTTACAGAGATGAAAATAACACTGCATTAGGGCGTGGGTTTTAGTATCGGTGATTTTCTTTTCTTGAAATTTACTTTTAGCTTACTATATCACCTTCTTAAAAACAAACACACAAAAAAACAATAACACCTGGACGCAAAGACCCTACAGAATTCCTAGAGGCAACACAGATGGCTTGACTCTTGTACAATATGTGCATTACAGGGAAAGGTACACATAATAGGTCCTGATGTAGTTGCCTGGTTTGGGAAATGCTTTTGATCTTAGGCGGGCTGCATGGATATGGGCACCCTTGTTAGCTAGTCTGTGTTGCAAATATGTGGGCCTGGATAACACAGCCTGAGCTGTCTCCCTGAGTTGAATGGGAAGGTAGAGCAGATGTTTGTATCATCTGGAGCTATAATATTTGGGAAAAGTCTTTAGAATCTCTTTCCATCCAAACACTCAAGATTTCAACTCTTGTTTTAAATTGCTTTGTGTTTTTAGAGCACTTTTGGAAATCACTAGCAGTCTTTTAAAAGCCATGTTCATTATATGCACAAAAGTAAAACCAGACAGGCCAGTAGAGACGACAAGTGTCTTCAGTTGGGCAAAGGGCTCCAGGGTCCATGCCACCTTTGCTGTGACCTCCTGTACCATTGCTTTTTGTCACCTTGAAATGAAGATGTTCTAAGCCACCACCGCCTCCCTGCTCTATTGTGGCTTCTTAGGCTCTCTTATCACCTGGCCCATTACCATCAGCTGCCCTTGGGCCCCAACCCTGTACTAGCTGCAAGTGCAGGTCTCAATACAAATGAGCAGGCAATGTAGGCAGGCTGAATGACAAAACCTCTTCCCCTCAGCCAGTGCTCCCTCCTCCCCCTCTTGTTTTCAGCAGCCCTCTTTACAGGCACCAGCTGCCTCATTAAAGAGCAGCCTTTATGCTCTGTTCACCTGTGCCCACCCTTCTCAGTAGCCATTCAGCCCAATGGCTGTGAGAGAGGCTCCCGTGATTTGGTGGAGACACAGAGCCTGAGAGTGCTGAGAGCATGGAGGGAGCTGGGGCAGGCCCACATCACAGGTATGGCTTTCCTTCTTTCTCTCCAGGGACAGTCTGGGGAACTGTGAAGGTTCAGGGTGGATATCTGGGCTTCTTCCTCAAGAACCCAGTTGGTGATCCTAGCAGAGAGTTCTCTGTTGAGGATAGGCCCTTGTTCCAGAGGGAAAGCCCCAGGCTGGTGGGCAGCCCGGATAAGCCACCTTGTCAGGTGGGGAGCAGGTTAGTACAAAGACACTGGAGGAAGTAGAGAAGAGTGAACAAAAAGACAAGAACTTCTATGGGACAGTAAACTCTCAAGCAGCGTCCACGATTCCAGTCCCATCTTGCTCAAGGCTTTTCTCCTTACCTGGCCATCTATCATACCGGGCTTAATATATCATTTCTTTTTCTGTCCTCCTGGAGTCCTGGTGTGGCGCTGTAGGAGAAGCACTGGACTACTAACCCACTAGCCACTCCTTGGAGACCCTATGCAGCATCGCTGAGTTGGAACCAACTCAATGGTACTTAACAACAACAACACTCCTGGCAACAAAGCAAGCACTGCCTTGCACTCCTATCACCCCAAAATAATCAGTTTGGTGTACCTGAGGATCTGGCTTCTTACCTGTCTGCATTGCAGGAGGTCAGTGTTTAACTCAGAAATCTTCTGAGGTCTGCTGATGTGGAAAAGAAAGGCAAGCTCAAAGGACAGATAGAAATCATCTCCCCATGGCCTTCAAGGGGAGAGTCCATGGGGCATGCATTTCCTGTCCCATCATTCACTGACATGCTCTCCTTTCCAGAGTCTTGCCTCTCTGTCCAAGGCCCTTCACCCGGGCATCTTTGGGGAAGTGTTTGCAGTGTCAGCCCCACCGTCCTCCACAGTGTTCCCTTGTTGTTGTTGTTAAGTACCATACAGTCGGTTCTGACTCATAGCGACCCTGTACAGGGTTTCCGAGGCTGTAAATCTTTACGGGAGCAGAATGCCTCATCTTTCTCCCGTGGAACCGCTGGTAGTTTCGAACTGCTGACCTTGTGGTTGGCAGCCTGACTCGTAACCACTATGCTACCAGAGCTCCTTAGCCACTGGGAAATTTGCTCTCTTGGTTGCAGGCTGACTTAATCCTCCAAACTTCTACTGTACTTGGGTTGCTTCACAAATGACAAGTCTGCTGGAAACGGCTTCCAGATGGCATGGTGTGTGTCATGTGTGTGCACGTGCATGTGTGCACATGACTGGTGTGGTTCTCTGTGCCTGTGTGTGACGTGTGGGTCTGTACATGTGTGTGCTGCATACGTGCAGTGTCTTGAGAATGGCACAGCTGTGTGATGTGTGTGAGCATGTGTGCACAAGTGCCTTTCTGTGTGGTGCATGCCTGTGTGCATATGTGTGGTGTGTACATGGTATGTGCCTGCATGAGTCTGTGCCTGCGTACATGGTGTGTGTGGTTAGCCATGGGGTGGGGCCCCGGCGAATCTGGGGCAGCACTCCACTCAGAGTCAGGCCCAGGGCTGACTGGGGCTGCTTCATCTCAGGCCAAGTCGTTCAACAGCAGAAGCCAAAAGGCCAAACTCTGGTGAAAGCCCTGATGTGCTACTACCTCCCCTCTGACTGCCATGGGGACATTAAACCTTCAGTACTCTGGGACTCGGACGGCTGGTTCTTGGTTCTCTGCCTGGAAAAACAGTAGGCGAATAGTAAAACCTTAAATTCTAACATGTGTAAGTTATACATCTTATTTTCATTTTCAGCCCATGCTCCCCTCTGTAAGACATCAGGAAAAAATTACCGTCTGACTTCTAATATCTCAGTGGAGCATTTATCTCTCAGCTATGATAAGTGATCTTCAATATTTTTTCCTTTCAGATTAAGAAACAAATTCATTTAATTTTCTTTATTGAGTATGTTCAGCCTCCCCTGCCCCTGCGGTGTCGCGGGAAGCCTGAGCTATTCTCCTTTCTGCCTGGTACTGGCTGTTCCCCGGATAACCTACTATGCTCCCTGCTGCAGCGCCACCTCTGCAGCATGGCAGCATGGGAGAGTCAGCTGGCACAGCCCACTCCTCAAGGCCTAGCAATAGTGTATTTCAGACTGGTGGGAAGTCCAGAGAGATTCTGGGGCCCAGACTTGGAAGATTTGAATCTGAACCCTGCTTGAACTTTTTGGGCCTGAAGGCCTGATTGGGAGCTCTTGGAGAGAACTGATGGTCTCCCAGAGCACTAAGACTTTCACCTCCTGCTTGCTTGCTGTAAATATAGTTGTAGCCTCATGTTGGCTGTCCAATGGTATCCACCTTTGTTCTTTCTGCCATCTGACTAGAAGGTGGGCAGGAAGGATGGCTCTGCCCTGGGCCTGCTGGGAGGTCCAATAACTCTGGACTGGAGAAGTATGAGTGTCCTGCCTGTCCCTGGTCGTTGGAGGGCCATGGGTGAGATATCACTGTTATTGAGGTGCAGCCACTGAGCAGGCAGTCTGCACTGATGGTGTGGAGTCCATGGATGGTACAAATGGTCACTACTAACCAAAAGGTGGGAGGTTCATATTCACTCAGCAGGTCTTGAAAGAAAGGCTTGGTGATCAACTTTACAAAACCAGGCCTTGAAAACCCTATGGAGTACAGTTCTCCTCTGACATATGTGGAGCTGCTATGAGTCAGAGATGACTCAAGAGCAACTGTGTCTGGGTTTGTAATTAAGCTTGTGTGGTTAGAGACTAAGTGGGGTCCTTGGCTCTGTCCTTTGTGTACTTCAATGTCATTTACCTTGTGAGCTTAGTCACCAGAGCTGCAAAGTGCTAGAAAGGTCACAGTTTCTCTGTCAGGGTAAAGTTCCTGGATTCTATTCCTCCTGCATGCAGCAATCAGCTCTTTTGCACGTGGATTTTGATAGGGAAGTCTAAGCCCCGAAGGCCTAAGTCTTATTCTACCATTTACTAGCAGTGTGACCCAGAGCCTCTCAGATAACCTTTATTTTTCTTAACCATAAGGAGATAGCAACCCTTGCCATGCTGATCTGGAAGTGTTGCTGAGATGTTAATATGGAATGGTATATGAGAAATGTGTTCAAATTATATACATGTAATAGAAGTATTCATTCAGAAAACACTTATCATTCACCTACTATATAAGGCACTTTGAAAGGTACTGGAGGTTAAAAAATGAAAGCAAAGGCACAATCTCAGGAAACTCCCAACACATTGGGGGAAGGGCATCTGTCACACAGCAGGACAAGTCCTATAGCGAAGAAGGCAGGATCAAGGGAGAAGGTGTATCTTGGGGCAAGGAGCAGTACAAATGTTGTGACGCATAGACTGCCTGGCTGTGAAGCTGCCATCCGATGGGTAAGACTTCAGCACTGACCTAAAAGTTCCAGACACTGTTATGAGGGCAGGAAGGAGCTGCCAAAAATTTTTAAGTACCATAATTATTGTACTGGGCTGGGATTTGCAGAAAGCGCTGGTGGCAGCATGGAGAACAGAAATAAGACATTATTATCATCATCATCATTCCACCAGATGGGCCTGGGAAGTAGATCACCAGTGGCCTGAAGTGCTGAGGTGGCCAGGGAGTTAGCCCCATGCCAGGTGGACAGGGGACCCCTCAATGACTTTTTGTTGGGCTTTATCTTCTCTCACTTCCAGAGAGTCTCCAGTGGACTGCAGTGTTAGCAAATGCAGCAAGCTCGTTGGTGGAGGCGAGTCCAACCCCATGAACTACAACACCTACATGGACGAGAAGAACGGCCCCCCTCCTCCCAACATGACCACCAATGAGCGGAGAGTCATCGTTCCCGCAGGTACTACCTGGCTGACCTCCACCTCCTCCCTCTTTGGGGTTAGTAGTAGAAGGGTAGACCTACTCAGTGGGCATTCCAATCCTCACGTCATGTCCTATCGTCTAAGGAAACACCAAATCAGAAAAGCTGTTCTTCCTCCCTTCCTCCCTTTCAAGACAAATCCCAATATCATCAAACCCTTGGTGTGCTGATCGCAGAAGTCCCACCCTGAAGCAGATTGTATCACAGATGCTACAGTGGCCTGGCCATAAGAACTTGGTATGCAGAGGGAGCAGAAGTAAAACTGCCTGAACCCAAAGAGGCCCGAGAATTCTCAGACATAACCGTGTTTGCCTGTTAGGAGAAGGTGGCTACAGAAGGCTGTTCTGCCCATTAGACATGGATTTCCTGGCATCTGCAAGGTGCCACCTTCCCAAAATTACAACCAGCTCTTTTCGATTTTAAAATAGAAATAACTATGCTTAACAAATGGCGCACCTTAGTGAGTGTGCAATGAGTTACGTCAGTATGTAAAAATAGCCTATTTTTCCTAGGTATTGGGTCTGTTTGTTACAGAAAATAAAATCATTGTTCAGTCCTCTGATCCATTGGCTGGACACACTGCCTTGGCTAAGCTCAGCTGCTTGGTCAAAAAATGCAACATGAAGAATTAGTGCCAGGTATAAGGAGCAAGAATATCTAAATCATAAGAAAGGTATATGACAGGGCCAGGATTAAAACTTATCTTAGCAAAATAATTTTACCAACAAGACAAAACCCCTCCCATTTGAAAAAGTATAGATGCAAGTTATGCCTGAAAGTGGAGAATTAGCTCATTGAGGTGGTCCAAAGGAATTTGTTTGATGGTCTAGAAGGCATGATTTCATAATGGGCCTCTCTCTCCTAGTTGCTTTGTGTTTGTCTGTGGATGTCTGTGCCCAATCATCAACTAGGACTGCATCCATGTGTTCTGGGCCAAGTTAAACACGGCAGGGAGGAGGAAGGTATGGGGAAGAGTGACACAGGAGATGGGTGGGGCTGATGTAAATTTTTCTGTGCCCTATAGGACCTAAAGGGAGCCCTGGTGGTGCCGTGGTTAAGCTCTCAGCTGCTAACTGAAAGGTCGGCGGTTTGAACCCACCAGCCACTCCATGGGAGAAAGCTGTGGCAGTCTGCTTCCATAAAGATTACAGCCTTGGAAACCCTATAAGGCAGTTCTACTCTGTTCTATAGGGTCGACTCCACAGCAACAGGTTTGGTTTGGATAGGACTTAAAAACTGCTCATAAAGCATTTTTAAGTTCCTTTTTTCACAAGCAGATGGCTCAACAAAGGAAGAGGAAGAATAGCTATGGTTAATTGAGCATTTTCTAGGTCTCAGGCACCATGTAATGGTATATGACTTTGTGTACATTACAGTACTTGTATCTTTTAATGTTTGGTTTCCTGACTCCCTCAAGAGGGCAGTTAGTAATGTTTATCTCAGAGTCCCTGGCTAGTGAAAACAGTTAATACACTTGTCTGCTAACCAAAAGATTGATGTTCAAGTCCATTTAGAGGTGCCTCAGATGAGAGGCCTAGTCATCCACTTCCAAAAACTCAACTGTAAAAACAGTTACTCTGACACACATGAGGTCACCATGAGTTGGGACTCGCTCAATAACAACTGGTACTGATAAGCTCCAAGAATCAGCATCTTTTCCCTCCTCACATAAATGAGGCAGATGACGAAATTGTGTTAATGTTGACATTGTTGAAGGGAGCATCATTATTCTTCCCAAAGCAAAGTTGAGGCCTCATCAAGTCTTTGCCCTTTGGTATTAAACTCTCCTGCTTCAGCCAAACAGCTACCAGCACGGGACTGACATCTTTCAGGGAATGAAGTGTTAGGGGATCAGAGATTGCTTTGGGATGCATTGTTCATTCCGTAGTTACTTTGGAAAGGGATTACAGAAAGGGAGCAGAAGTAGTTAGAAAGCTTGGTCTCTACTCCAACTCTATACTGGCACTGGAACTCTTTCAAAAGGAATAGCAAAATGTTCTTCTTCAGTGAGGCAAGTTAGCCATAGCACAATCATGAAAATGCCATAAACTTATATCCAAACATTTTTAAAGCAGTTTCACTTGCTACAGATTTACTCAAGTATTATACCTCTAACTAAATCTCTAAGCTTTATCCTCAGACATTTTGGCTTCTTCCAGGTCAGTCTGCTGGACAGGAGAGGAAGGCTCATTTGTGCAAGCCCACAAATCAAGGTCATAAAGCATTTGTGGAGCAACTGATTGAATTTATGGTGGGATTTTAAGACAAGTATAAACGAGGACCCTAGTTAATCACCAGCTGCCCGTTCAGATGGGAAGAAACAAGGTCTAAATCATCCAGGAAATACATTTGGAAGAGTTTACCATGGTCCAGAATGGAAGATTTATAATTCATTGTGCTGTGGAGAGAGAGAGAAATAATATTGTGACAGAGCCCAAAGCAAGGGAGGAAATAATAAAATAAATATATGGTGTAAAATTGAATATGAAACATTGGATACTACAAATGAGGAATTAAGAGACATTTAGGAGATCAGATGAGAGAATATGCTACATAATCCAACACCCCCTTCCCCAAGGTGTTTCCTTTAGCATTCTGAGATGGTTGCAAAATTATTTCCATTTACCTGCTCAATGCTTAGTCTGGAGAGTAAAAGAGAGTAAATAGAGCAAAGAAAGAAATGTATTCGACAAAGATAAGGATGTGTATTAGAAGAGTGAAGCTCTATGAGCTTCCCCTCAGAGCTCTGGCTTTTGGCATTAACAGCAGAGTAACTTGTAGGTGAGGGAAACCAGGATTTGGGGTGTGATGGCAAGATTTGGGGTGCCAGGGAAATACCTACTTCTCCTATCAAGTTAAGTCCATGAAGACTTTGATTGGGATTTCAGCTCAGACACTTACCAGGACAAGCTACTAAGTATTTCAAGATTCCAGATTTCCATATCAAAATAGGGACAACAGAACCCACTTTGCAGTATTTTCCTGTTATGTAAAAATAGGACTCACAAGCGGCTTATACATTGTAAGCACCCAAAATTTTGGTTGTTACTAGTATAGGATACTGGAGTTGTGGTGTGGCACTGGGGATTAATGCACTGTACTGCAAAGCTGGTTTGAATTGCAAGGTTGGTGGTTCAAGCTCACCAGTTGCTCCTAGGAAACCCTATACAGGATCACTATGGGTTGGAACTAACTTGACAGCACTTAACAACAACAACAGTATAGGATACTAGATTCTTGGTACAACATTCCAGCATACTAGAAGCCTGGAACTCCAAATTCTCCCAGACTCTTTCTTTTGCCAGATCCTCCATGCCCCATACATACACACATCGACACCACTATACATGGGCCAGTGCTGAACACTTTGCAATGCAGTCAGCCTGCTACCCAGAAACACAAAGTGAATTGCAGAGTCCAGGCCAACAAGGACGAAAGCTCTGAGTCACAGAGCTGGGGAACTCGCCTCTGGTAACCAAGTCACAGGTTGTGAGGAATATCATAAAACCTTCCTTCTTTCTATGTGTCCATTCTCTAATCACTAGAACCAAATGCCCATTCTTGTCCAGGTCACAGACATAGTCACAGACATTGTGGCTTGGTTGAGAGGTTGCACAGATACTCCTGCCAAACAACCTAGTAACACAGGTCCAGTAGAAGCAGGAGACTAAAAGCAAATGGCCTTCATTGAAATGTCAGATCTCACCTCCTGCATGAACCTTCCTTGACGCTCCTAATTCATACTATTCCACTCCTCTTGTAATGACTTGAACTACCACCAAGAAATGTGCTGCTCAATTGGGGGCTTTCCTACCCTGTGCTCTGAAAGTTTCAAGTGAATAGATGCTTCCTGAGGGTGAGGGCCACAGATGTTTCTTCTCTGAAGAGCATATTTATGGGGCTTATTGGATTCACTAATTAATAGTTGACTGCCAACTGAAGGATGGCTTCCAGACTCTAGTAAATGATAAGTTAGAAGAGCTCTCTGCCTACCTGAGGACTCTAAGAGGCCCCCACAGACACACACGTACCTGAGAAGGAGTCACTAGAACCCTAATTGACCTCAGTCCTCGTGTTACTTATGTTCACTCAAAGGCTCAAAGGTCTTCTCTCTCTCATACCATCTCTCCTCTCTGAGGGTTAAAATACCACAAAAACTTCAGAAATGGTTTGGTAGGAATGCAACACAGCTGTCCCCCATTCCCACCCCCTACCTCCACCCCAAAGGAAAACCTATAGTGGATTTATGTTAAAGATTGACACCACTTGATTTTCCAATGACACAGATGGGCTTGCAGTAAACATGTTTGTGTGTGTGTATTTCCCCTCTAGAGAGATCTGAGTCTCCATTAATATTTCTAAAATACACATGGTTTGTCATCTTTCCAGGGATAGTTACTTTGTGTTTATTTTCATTTTGATGTCACCATTTATAAGGAAAATGTTTAGTTGCCCACTGAAAACTTTAAAAAAAGCATCCTGTCAGGATACTATCTAAGATCCTGCCCAGAGGGTGAAGTGGTTTGGGCAGTACCAGATGTAGTAGGGCCAAATGAATGTTGGGGAGGACCATCTGGGAGGTGAATAGCTTCCCCTCAGAAGCAGAGAGAAGCAACCTCTGTCCATTCCACCTTTGTTAACCAGGCTCTTATTCCCTACAGACCCCACACTGTGGACGCAGGAGCATGTGCGGCAGTGGCTGGAGTGGGCAATAAAGGAATACGGCTTGATGGAGATTGACACTTCCTTCTTCCAGAACATGGACGGCAAGGAATTGTGCAAAATGAACAAAGAGGACTTCCTCCGCGCCACCTCCCTCTATAACACGGAAGTGCTGTTGTCACACCTCAGTTACCTCAGGGACAGTAAGTGCTTTGTCTGCTTCCAGAGTAGGAGCCCAGCTTCAGAGGCCAGACCCCAACCCTGCTCTGCCAAGCCTGCTTTGTCATCACGAAGACTAGTTTCCCATAGAGCCAGCCCAAGGAGAGGAAACCAATTCCCTGCTATCAGTTTATGTTGGGCAGATGCTGAGGGAGTAGCAGGCTTGGACCCTGTAAAGTTGCCAAGACCAGAGCGACTCATACAGGTGCCACCAGGGGCAGGCCCAAGCCTGAAGTGTCCAGTATCTATCCTCTGCAGAGAGTGGAGGGAGGAAAATTAAGGATGGAGGCAAAATAGATGAGACCTAGTGGAACCTCCAAGGGTCAGCCTGAGTCTTCTGACGAGAAGGGCAGTCTCTTTCCCTTTCCAGAAACCATTTTGACCTATAATCTTATGCAGGGTAAAACACCTTGGCTGGTGTTTTCCTGAGCAGTGATTTAAAGTTCCTATGGGAAAGTCTGGATTCATGGATTTAGGAAGTAAGGTTTTAAAAATTGACATGCTAACAACTTCTTATCCTTGGGTCACGCTAACACTCCTGTGGTTGTTGCTTAGTACTTGAAAAGATGCTATTAGGATCAAGGAATTGAAGCTATAGGAAAGCAGATTTGGGTTTACTCTGTGTAGGAAGTTTCTATCAGTGCATCCAGTTCAAAGATAGGCTGGGTGGCCTCAGGGTGTAGTGAGTGTGCTGTTAATGCCCAAGGCTACTGGGAACCTTGCTGGACTTATTGAATGAGAAGGGATTTAGATGGTTTCACCAAATCAGTTGTCATTGAGCCAACTCTGTCTCATGGCAACCCCCCATGTATGTCAGAGTGCAAGTGATTCATAGGGTTTTTAGTGGCTGAGTTTTCAGAAGTAGCTCTCCATGCTCTTCTTCCAGTATCTCTGGATTGACTCACACTTTCAACTTTTTTGTTAGCAGCTAAGCATGTTAAGGTTTGCGCTCCCCAGAGACTCTTAGATGATGTTAAGTTTCTTTCAAAAGCTGAAATCTTCTGATGACACCTAAGATGCCCGCTTTTCTTGTCTTCGTGGCTCTTTATTGGTTAGTTTTTTTTTATTTGCTCTCTGTTTCTCAGTAGGCCTTTACCTTTCCATGTTTGTGATCCTCTATCGTGTTCTGGCAACAGTACACCACATGGGCCAGGGGTGGGGAGTGGGAGTGAGACAGGGGCACACACTGGTTGTAAAAAAGCAAATGTCTTCAGAAATTTCTGCCCCTGCATCCAGGCTATCTAGTTGATTACCTCTCTGAGGCATCTGGTAACCAGTAAGAGACTGTGGAGGATGCAGTTATATGTTAACACTTGAGCAGTGACCTCATGTCTGAGTCTTTTTGTAACATGAAGTCAGCTCAAGGCACAGCCATTTCAAAAAGGGAGGGATCCATTTCCCAGCTAGTTTTATTTGACCTTTGGATAGTTAGCATTTTCCAGTGATCTAACCACAGGGTTGGTGGTTCAAATCCACCAGCTGCTCCTCAGAAACTCTATACAGGGTCACTGTGAGTTGGAATGGACTCAACAATACTTAACAACAACAGCAGTGATTTATATGAGGATCCTGGAAAAGTACCAGAATGTTCTTGGAAAAGTACCATTATATTTCAATTCCATTTTTCCATAGACTTTTTGAAGCCCTTCAAATTTATCAGCCATTGAGCATTTGGTGAATAATAATCAAAGTGAAAAACAGTATTGTTGGTGGACAGAATGCTGCAGTGATACTAGGCAGGGGTGGAGGTAGGCACAGAAAGGTTGGGCAACAAGAAGTAGAGGCCAGAAAACAAACACACTGACCAGTTCTGCCTTTCCTACTTCTCCCCAGCATCCTTCATGGAAGGAGATTCAGGAATCATTAACCCTTTGTTTCCTTTATGGGAAAAGAGAGATGCAGAAGCAGTATATTCTGGACAGTTAACAGGTCCTATCATTTTGGGCACTACTGCAGATGCCCTTGTTGGGGGAATGTCCAAGCATATTCTAAGTCTGGGTGAGGAAGTTTATTCAAACCATGGGATCCCTGAGCACTGCATTCATAGGAGGCCAGAGAAGCCCAACTCCCAGCCAGTACTAATCAGGACCTGTCACAGATGAACCCCTGCTACAGACACGAAAGTGAGACAAACACCTGCTCAAATGACTTTGGAATGTGATTGAGGAAGACATTTGGGGCCATTAAGAAGGCTTTCCATTGCAGGGGAGCGGAGATAACAACACAAACGAATGATCAGGTGGTAAAGAAGTGGAGGCAGGGAGTTTGGTACTTGGGGTTAGGAAAAATGTTGATGGCTTTTTCTTTCAGTAATCGAAAAGATTTGAACATATTTATAGATACAAGGGGCCTTCGAAACTTCTTGGAAAATGGAATGGAACAACAATGGAATTTTCCCATGAATTTTTTGAAGCCCCTTGTATAAGGGAAGTATGACGTTTCCAGAAAGGAGCATGTTTTCAGAGTTGAGATGCCATGGAATTAACTACATATATGGAAGATCTTTGGTGTCCTGGTGTGGCACTGTGAGTTCATGCGACTGACTGCAAAGTCAGTTTGAATCACAAGGTAGGCAGTTCAAGCTTACCAGCTGCTCCTTGGAAACTCTATACAGGGTCACTATGGGTCAGAACCGACTCAACAATACTTAACAACACTAAGGGGAGAGCTTTGAAAATGCAGGACATTTTTCCTGAATCAGGAAATGATTGCATAACAATACTGCTTCTACAAGACGCACAGTATTGTGTCCTTAAAATTATTGTGGAAAAACATGAAAGCTGTTTATGATACTATGTTGATTGAAAAAGTTATATACCAAGGGGTTTGTGCATGGCTATTAAAACAACATTTGCTTGCAAAATAAAAAAGATAATAGTAATATATTAAAGTTAAAGAAAAAGGCAAAAAAAAAAAGCAAACTTGCCCCAGCATAGTACTCATAATAGTCTAGAGGCTTTGTGAAGAACCTAACTTTAAAATGATCCACCTCCAGGGGAAAGTATTTGACTCTTGTTGCTTTTTGATTTGGAAAGCAAAGCCCCTTAAGCACTAGTTTCTACATCTAGGCTTTCCCTCTGGTACCCTCTAAGGCTGGGTAGGGGTTGGCTTAGCTTGCTAAGATGCCTATGGGAGGCCCTGACCAGCGACTTATTGTATTGGGGATTGCTGGGATGGTCAATGCTATGGGGAAAGAGGTTGGGGTGAATGAGTCAAAGCAGGGCGAATGGGTACTAATTCCTGATGTTTTGTCATCTTGTTCTCTGGGCGTGGGGTGTGGTGTGTGGAGTGCAGACATTTCCACTTTGGCACTAGGTGGGAGAGAAATGGCTGTGATCCTCAGCACAGATGGAGCAATCACTGTGGAGCAAAGGAGAGTTGATAGAGGGAAGCTAGGCACTGAGCATGTGAACTTGTCAGACGAGTCTGAAGTGGTGGTGCTTCTCCTAAGTGTCTGATCTTCTGGACTGTAATAGAAAAGGGGAAGCCTTGTAGGTTAAGAAGTTCTGGCATCCAATGTATACTTTCACAAAAGGTGCTTGAGTAATTTATTCTGGTTGCCTGGGAGGGGAGTACTATACTTTAAAAATTTTAAATGCTGCATAAATATTTTCCTGGGTAGAGAAGAAATAGCAATATTTTGAGTCCCTGTATTGGAAAGGAGGGGAAAATGTTGCCATCAAGTCAACCCCGATTCATGGCTGTCTATTCATGTTTCAGAATACAACTGTGCTTCACAGGGTTTTCAGTGCTGGTGTTTTGGAACTCAGTTGCCAGGCTTTCTCTCAAGTGTCTTTGGGTGGACTTAAACTTTCAACCTTTTGGTTAGCAGCCGTGCACACCACCCAGGGTACGTCTCTCATAGACTGCCTAATGGCTTGGAGCACTAGGATTTATTTGCCTTATCTGGAAGGCAAATTTGCCAGCTGGAAGCTTCTCACTTCCTTTGAGGTCTCTCTATCTTGGCATCAGTATTTCAGCTGCCCCAGGCCAAGTGACTGTAGATACTTTGTGAATACATCATCTCCATTTGAAATGTATTGCAGAGCTATAGGGCTGGGATTGGGACTGGGGTTGGAGCTGGAGTAGGCAAAATCCCCTGAGACTTATTTCTAGCCTTCTAAATTCAGCATGCATTTCCCCAGGTGTTGCTCAGTGTGAACAGGATGCCCCCTTGTGGAAACCACATGGAAAATTATGTATAACCCCCATTTTAAAGCCAAGTAGTAAGGAGCTCTGGTAGCGTAGTGGTTACGAATCGGGCTGCGAACCGTAAGGTCAGCAGTTCGAAACTACCAGCTGCTCTGCGGGAGAAAGATGAGGCTTTCTGCTCCCGTTAAGATTTACAGCCTCAGAAACCCTGTACAGGGTCGCTATGAGTCGGAACCGACTCCACGACACGTAACAACAACAACAGTCCTGGTGTGGTGCTGTGTGTTAATGCGCCAGACTGCCTGTTTGAACTGCAAGGTCGGTGGTTCAAGCTCACTAATTGCTTCTTGAAAACCCTGTACAGGGTCGCTATGGGTCAGAAATCAAACGATGTATTGCATTAGGTAAATCTGTTGCACAAGACCTTTTTAAAGTCTTGAAGAGCAAAGATGTCAGCTTGAGGACTAAGATGCGCCTGACCCAAGCCATGGTATTTTCAATAACCTCATATGCATGCGAAAGCTATATTCGAAAGCTGGACAGTGAATAAAGAAGACCATAGAGGAATTGACGCTTTTGAGTTATGGTGTTGGAGGAGAATATTGAAAGTGCCATGGGCTGCCAAAAGAACCAATAGATCTGTTTTGGAAGAAGTGCAGCCAGAGTGCTCCTTGGAGGCCAAGATGGCCAAAGTTTGTCTCTCATACTTTGGACATATTATCAGGAAGGACCAGTCATTGGAGAAGTATAACATGTTTGGTAAGGTGGAGGGTCAGAGAAAAAGAGGAAGCCCCCAACAAGATGGACTGGCCAAGTGGCAGCATCGATGGAC